CTCACACACACACACTCACACACACACACACTCACACACACACACACACAAAGGCTCTTTTTCCTTCCTTCCTTCCTTTTTTTCATGTGCAATTGGTGTTTGCCTGTGTGAGGGAGCCAGATCCCCTGAATTGGAGTTACAGACAGTTGTGAACTGCTGTGTGGGTGCTGGGAATTGAACCTGGGTCCTCTGAAGGAGCAGCCAGTGCTCTTAACTAATGAGCCTCTCTCCAGCCCCCACAAAGTTGATTTTTTTAAACCACATTTATAAGCAGTGTATAAATATGAAGATAAGGAGCTCAAGGCCATTCTCAGCTACTTGTGGAAGTTCAAGGGCAGTCTAGGGATATGACCTTATAGGGGGCGGGGCTGACAATCTAGAGGCAGATATAGGAGGATCTCTGTGAGTTTGAGGCCAATCTGGCCTACATATTGAGTTCCAGCCAGGGCTCCATAAGACCCTGTGTCAAAAATAAAAAAAAAAAGAGGGGTCGGAGAGACGGCTCAGCAGTTGAGAGCACTGACTGCTCTTCCAGAGGACCCAGGTTCAGTTCCCAGCACCCACATGGCAGCTTACAACTGTTTATAACTCCAAGATCTGACACTCTCACACATACATACATGCAGGGAAAACACTAATGTACATAAAATTATAATAAATTATTTAGTGCGCGCACGCGCGCGCACACACACACACAACTACAGAGATGGCTGAGTCATCAAGAGCACTGTCTGCTCTTCTAGAGGGCCTAGGTTAGATTCCCAGTACCTACATGGCAGATCACAACCATCTGTAACCAATTCCAATGCCCTCTTCTGGAGTGCACAGGCACCAGGCATACATGTGGTATGTAGACATACATATAGGCAAAACATTCATACATATTACATGGTCTACATAGAGAGTTTCATGTTAGCCAAGGCTACATAGTAAGACCCTGTCCCAAAAAGAAAAGGAAAAAAAAAAAAAGGATTAAGTGAGGTCATGAGTTTGGGGTATCCTGATAAGACTTTGGCTATATAGTACAAGGAAGGGGCTAAAAGGAAAGGGGCTAGCAGTTTAGCTTAGTAGTAGAAGCTTGACAAGGGGGATGGGGGTGGAGGAGACTGTCTCTACCATCCTTCCATGCCTCAATCTTACTTTCCTGCTCTAAAACTGTAAGAGAGCCGGGCGTTGGTGGTGCACGCCTTTAATCCCAGCACTCGGGAGGCAGAGGCAGGCGGATCACTGTGAGTTCGAGACCAGCCTGGTCTACCAAGCGAGTTCCAGGACAGCCTCCAAAGCCACAGGGAAACCCTGTCTTGAAAAACCAAAAAAAAAAAAAAAAAAAAAAACTGTAAGAGAATGCAGTTTTCCTGGCAGCATGGGGAGTCAAACCCAGAGCCTGTGTGCACTAGGCAAGAGCTACCACTATCAAGCTATACCACACTGCCCTCGGTTTTGTGAGACAGGGTCTTGGCATAGAACCTATGCCACCATGAACTCCCAATTCTCCTCCCTCAGCCTCCCAAATGTTGGGATTACAGGTGCACACAACGGCCAGGAAGAAATCTTCCTTCTTTCAGTTGATTGGGACAGGGTATTAGTTAACAAAAGATATCCCAGAACTTACTGTGTGACTAGAGGCAAGCTCCCTAACACTGGGATTACAAAACATGGACCAGCTCGTCCAGCTAAATCTTTTCCTTATAAAATGACAGACTCCATTGTCCCTCCCTTCTGCTGTGTCCCCCAACACACACCTCTCCCTGCTGTGTCCCCCAACACCCACCATCCCCTAACAAGCCCTTCCGTGGCCCCACACTCCCCTCACTACTGATCATCATGGCTTGGAGATGTAGACCAGTGATTAAAAACATTTCTTGGCTCCCTTTTCACGGCACAATTCGTTTTCCCTTACCCATTTTAACTGACTTCTGCCTCCATCTCTCTGAACGTGCTCTTGTCTGGGTCACTCGTGTTCTCTGTGGTCACCCTCTAGAGCCACCGAACTCCATCTCGAAGCACCATTAGCCATGACTCTCCACCTGTGCATCAGATGCTGCTCCCTCGGGGCTGCAGAGAAGTCCCGGCAGCAAAGAGCAGGTAGGTGGCTGGGCAGTGGCTGTGCTCATCTTTAATCCCAGCACTCAGGAGGCAGATCTCTGTGAATTTGAGGCCAGCCAGAGCTACACAGGGAAAACCAACCAAAAAAAAAAAAAAAAAAAAAAAAAAGAGCAGGAGGAGGCAGGTACTGCTCTTCCAGAGGACCAAATTCCTTTTTTTTCGGGTGGGGGGGTTGGGTGGGTATTGTTGTTGTTGCTGGGTTTGTTTTTGGAGACAAAATCTCACTTTGTAGTCCTGGAACTCACTACGTAGACCAGGCTGGCCCCAAATTCCTGAGTACCGAGATTAAAGGCATGTGCAACCAGAAGACAGAAATTTGAGCTCCAGGAATACAATACCCTCTTCTCACCTTCAAGGGTAGTCAACACACATTATATACACATACAAACTTAAAAATAAACCTTTTTAACTTTTTTTTGAAGATTTATTTATTATTATATGTATAGTGTTCTGTTTGCATGTCTGCCTGCAAGCCAGAAGAGGGCAGCAGATCTCATTACAGATGGCTGTGAGCCACCATGTGGTTTCTGGGAATTGAACTCAGGGCCTCTGTAAGTGCAGCCAATGCTCTTAACCACTGAGCCATCTCTCCAGTCCTTAAAAACAAAAAGATCCTGCCTCAAAACACACACACTCCAAAAGGCCTTCCCACAAGATCCAACATAGTAAGGTCACCAGTCACTTTTCCACCTCCAAGTCCACTCTGTGTCCTGTAAACACACAAAGCTTCCCCAGCTCAGGGTCCCTGCATTACTGTTACCTCTTCCTGGAAGCTTTTCCACATCATTTAGCCATTATCATGCTTCAAGTCTCACAAAAGACAGTCTCCTTTTCTATTGGCCCCTCCCTGACCTGTACTCAATGGCTATCTTCTGCAAGATTGCTTTTGCTTTGTGTCTTGAGACAGGGTCTTACTATGCAGCCCTGGCTAGCCTGGAACTCACTTTGTAGACGGGCCTGGCTCACACTCATGAGAGATTCATCAGACTCTGCCTCCTGAGTGCTGGGACTAAAGGAGTGTTCCGTGACACCCCACTTCTGCAGGGTTTTGTTGTTTACTGCAGTGAGCCAGGGGCCCCTCAAATACTAGGTAAACACAACAGTGCAGAGCTAGATCCCCAGCATGCAGCACTGTCTCCTGCTTACCCTCTCCTTTTCCTGGTTTTATTATCATCATCATCCTCTTCAAAACAGTTACTTTTCTACTTCTTAAAGAGATGAGGCCTCAGGCAAACATGGTAACACATACCTGCAACCTCAGCACTTACAGATACAGCTAGCAGATCAGGGATGTGAGGATATCCTCGGCTATATAGCTACTTTGAGTTTAAGGCCAGCCTTCTCTATATGAGATCTTGTCTCAAAGGGGTATAGATGGGGGGTGGAGCAGCTCCGAAGTTAAGAGCAGGGGTTGCTCTTCTAGAGGAGCTGGGATTCAATTTCCAGAACCCACATGACAGCTAACAGTTGTCTGCAACTCTAGTCCCAGGGGACCTAATCCCCTCTTCTGGCTTCCATAGGCACTGCGCGCATGTGGTCACATAGATTCAGGCAAAACACTCACACACATTAAAAAAATTTTTCTGTTTTTGAATCTCAAGAGAAAAAAAGTTTTACTTGGGTTTGACATCAAATGCCTGTAGTTCCAACAATTGAAAGGAGGAAAACCAGGAGGTCAAGGCTAGCCTCAGTTATGTAATGAGTTAGAAGCCAGCATGAGACCTGTCTCAAAACGAAGAAAGGTAGCTGGAAGACGGCTTAGAGGTTAAGAATGCTTGCCGTTCTTGCAGAGGACCCAGGTTGGGTTCCCAGCACCTATGACAGACGGCTCACATCTACCTGTAATTCTAGCTTGGCTGTGCTGGGAGCACATTTCCCAGAGAACCCTAGAAGGTGAAGCACACAGAATGTTCTTCCATCCTGAAAGCAGGAACTGGAGGTGATGAGTAGCCTAGTGATCTGCCATCTGTGTTATCTGTCCGGCCTGGCCATCTCAAGGCCAGAACTGGAGATACCTAGTAGTCTACATGATCCTTAACAGCCAGGGGCTCCCCAACCTCCCACAAGGACCACACCTTATAGTTTACAGGACCCTTACATTCATTATCTGTTCCAGTGGTGGTGCACACCTTTAAACCCAGCACTCAGGAGGCAGAGGCAGGCGGATCTCTGTGAGTTCGAGACCAGTCTGGTCTGCCTAGTGAGTTCTAGGACAGCCTCCAAAGCACAGAGAAACCCTGTCTCGAAAAACCAAAAAAAAAAAAAAAAAAAAAAAAAAAAGGAGAGAAAGAAGGAGAAAGCAAACAGGCAAACACGAAGTCTCACAATGCTGCCCAGGATGCACTGCGGCTCCTGCGTGGGCATTTGTTCTGATGTGCAATGACCCTTGTACTGATATGCATTTGCACACTACACAAAAAACACAACCAACTCTTCATCTATCACTCATGTCCCTAAGAGCGCAGCCCAAACAGTGGCCTAGAACCCACTATGCAGTTAAGGATGACCTCCAGAGTGCTGAGATTACAGGAGTAAGCCAACACACCCCATTTACGCAGTGTGGGAGCTTGAACATGGGCTTTGTGCATGATACTAGGCAAACATCTACGAACTGAGCCACCTCCCCAGCACATGTGGGAAGTCATCTGATAAACACTTACACACTGTCACAGACATCCATTACTTGACTACAGAAAACAGACTCCTAACTAAGGAAGGGACTGACTTCTCTCTAAATGACTTTAGAATTCAAGGCAGAAAATGATACATGGGGACATCCATGGTTAAGGAACGTCCTGTCTGTGAACAGGTCACCCCTGGACATACTCTCCTCATTTGCAGAAAGGGCTCTGATGTGTAGGGCTGGCAGAGGGACAGTCAGCAACTCCCCTTACCATTTCTGCATAGTCCACCTGCTCTGTCGCACTGTACAGCTCTGGGGGCAGGTTGTAAATCCGCAGAGTGTTATCAGCACTGTTGGTTAAGATACAGGAACCATCAGGAGCCCTAAAAATATAGGAAAATTAGAAAACTGAACAGACCTATGATTTCCAGGTGTAGGTCTAGGGCTACCTTAGTACACATGCCCTTGAGAAGACACCAACCCACCCTGGGTAAAACTTAAGCTCATGCAGAGGGCGATGGCACACATCTATAACCCCAACCACTGAGAGGCTGAGGCAGAGGACCTCAAGTTCTGGGCCAGTCTGGGCAACCTGGCAAGGCCCTATCTCAAAACAAAGCAAAGCAAAGCAAAAAAAAAAAGCAAAAAGGCAAGGATGCTGGCATGAGGCTTAGTGGTGAGGTTCAGGCTAGCATGATGGACACCCTAGGCTAAATCCACAGTAGTAGAAATGGAAGGAGAGACAGGGCAAAGGAAAGAAAAACCCTTTATCTCGGTACTCACAGTATTCTGTTATTCCTCAGCCACCTCCAGATAAGTTTGTGGGTTTTTTTTGTTTTCTGAGACAAGGTTTTCTGTGTAACCCTGGCTGTCCTGGAACTCGCTCTGTAGACCAGGCTGGTCTCTGAACTCGGAGATCCTCCTGCCTCTGCCGAGTGGCATGTGCCACCACTGCCCAGATTAGTTTTTGTTTTTGTTTTAAGGCAGAGTCTCACTCTGTGGGCAAGGCAGGCCCTCCAACCCCCAAGTCTCCCTATTACCGAGATGCTGAGATTACAGAGCTGTCTAACCACGACCGGCCAAATATGGTTGGGTTTTAAGATGAAATCCTGAGGGTGGCCATTTCCCTGCCCGTTGTACTTACCACTTACAACCTTTTAAGAAGTTCTCGGAGTGGGCGCGGAACTCGGACCAGGAGCCACTGAGGTATCGGGGTACCTGCGAGAAGTTATAGCTCCAAAAGCTAGAAAGGGGATGGAGAAACAACAAATGGACCGTCAGAGCAAAATGGGCCCGGAACGGACCCGAGAGGACTGGAGGCTGCGGTTTTCACAAGCCCAGGCTCCTCGGATCCCAGTCACTTACGCGTCTCCCTCATCCACTGGACCGGGCTCTTCAGACACACCTTCCACGTCTTCTCCTGACGCCAACTCAGGCTGATTCGTGTCTTCTACAGGAAGGCTCACATTTTCAGACAGTTCTTGCTCCTCGATTCGAGGACTCAACTCACCGGGAGTATTAAACTCTACTTCCAGCGGAGCGGAGAGAGGAAGTGGGTGCCCTTGTTGCGGCTCCTGGAACACAACCGAGCCAGCCACAGAATCTGCGGCTACCTGGGATCGGTCATCTCCACCGCAAGGCTGTGGCACCGGTTCAGAGTCTGTATTTTCATCCACAGGGGAACCTTGGGGCACTGGAGCTGGGGCCTGGTCAGAAGAGAGGCTGTCCGGGACTACGAGTCGCTCCTCCGACGTCTTCATTCTGTAGAGCAACAGCGGCCGGGCAAGCCTCGTTGCACCGGCTACCAGCTGCTGAGGCTACACTGCATTAAAGTCCCCAGGAATTCGGGTGCAGAACTGCAGAGCCCCGCCGCGCCTGCCTTCTTCTTCCGGGAAGAGTTAGCCGAACCCCGCAACCGAGGGCAAACACCGGGAAACCAATTCAGGGAGAAAAGCACCTGGGGTCGCTACGCGCCGCTAGAGCTTCTTGCTCTCGCGGGAGTCGGGTCACCTTCCGATTGGGTCCAGCGTCCCGATTAGCTTCAGAGCCGTGAGGCGGGAAGGTACGAGTTGGCCCAACCCTCAAGCGCTAGAGAATTCTTAAAGGATTCTGGGAGTTGTAGTCTTCGCTCTCGGACTTGGAGAAAAGTACATGCGTTCCCCCTACCGTCCGCTGGGGTAATTCTTAAGGTACCTTCCCTCCCTGGCCTGTAGAGGGCGCTTAATTTCTACAGTTTTGCCCCTCTTGAATCGCGTTTTGAGTCAGGCAACCTCAAAATAAGATTTCCTTTCTGCCTCTCTCCCTCCCTTCATCTCCCTCCTTTTATTCTCCCTTCCTGTCCATCCCATCGACCTGCCTTCCCCGTCTCTCCCTTCTTTCTTTCAACATTTATTATCTTACTTCCTGCCCAGCAGTGTATGAGGAACTAGAGAAAATAGTTTACAAATGCTTTATCCCCATAAAATTGTCGTTGCTGTGCAATTGAAGGCTGTGAAAACAATCTTTGCAGATAGTGATAAGGTCTGTACAGGAAATTAAACAAGATGGTGTGATAGGAAGTATCTTGGAGAACACGATAGAGTGAGATGTTAAGAAAAGCCTTTCTAAAGTAACATTTTAGCTGGTGAGAAGAAAGCAAAAAACAGCTGCCCGTGTTGGCTCATCACTAAACATGGGAGGCTAAAGCAGTTGGGCTGCCGCGAGTTCGAAGCCAGCCTGGCTATGAAGACCCTGTTTCAGCCGGGCGTTGGTGGCGCACGCCTTTAGTCCCAGCACTCGGGAGGCAGAGGCAGGCGGATCTCTGTGAGTTCCAGACCAAGCGAGCTCCAGGACAGCCTCCAAAGCCACAGAGAAACCCTGTCTCGAAAAACCAAAAAAAAAAAAAAAAAAAAAAAAAAGACCGTGTTTCAAAAAGAAGACGATTCCAATTGTACAGCTAGATCGGAAACAGCAGTGTTCAGCGCTCTTCCGAAACGGTTTCCACCAATTTTGTCCTCACAGCTCCACCTTAGAGTACTTTTCACAAAGCGTTCGTTAAGCACAGCAACAACGCAGAAAGAATCCTGACTGTGTAACTGCCCCTCCCCTCCATTTCTTACCCTCCACCCACAGAATGATTTGCCCTTACTTGTCATGGCGACTATCCAGCTTTGTGCCAGCAGTCTCGCGAGGAATGCTGGGATAGGGACTTTCCCCTCCCATGTGCTTCTACTGACTAAAAAAAAAAAAAGTTTTGTTCAGGAGTCTACCATCCTGGCTGCAGGTAGCTATTGGGATCAGGGGGCACCTGGCATCCGGGTCCGGAACCTACTTCCCAGCAGGGTAACACGCTTCCCTGAAGACCTGGTAAGTTATCGGGTGAGCCCGATGAGTCCTCTCTGAGTCACCGGCTCTCGGTTCGCATAATTTGAGGCTAAAGAGAATCGTGGGGTTTGGGGGGTGGGGCAGTGGGGGGACTCAGCAGGTTGGGCGAGATGGGGGAAATGGAAACTTGGCGGGCGAGATGAACATGAATGCAATGTTGAATATGATGTAGATGATGGGGATGCTAGGACCAGCCAGCCGAACACCTGAGAAGTACGTAAGAATTTGGGGACCACTGAGACGGCGGCTTTCTCTCCGCCACCCTCTATACACGCTTATCGACTCGCTGCTGGGTGGTGGAAGCCCCAGAAATAACATGCACAAAGCACTGTGATGTGAGATTTTCCAAGATCCACAGCTTAAGACTTTAGAGCCCATAGTATCCTAATGAAATCTCGGGCTCCATTCCTTAATTAAATCGGGGTGATCCGGGAAGCCCTAGCTGCTAAGGTCTCCCAACTTCCGGACCTTTGTTCCTGGAGTAATTTTTTTTTCCAGCCGCACTCCAACCCTGTTAGTCAAAGAAAATCCAAAGAAAAGCTGTCAGTCTCGGTAGTCAGAAGTGTTTGCATTTGTGGCCGGCTCTGGTCTGAAAGGCCCGCCGACCCTGTTATTGTTTGCATTTCTGCCGCTTGCAGGAGCATTTCCGGTTTCTTTTTTCGGAGCAGCTCACCGCTCACTCGACAAGAGGGGAGTAGGAAAGGGGAAAAAAATGGATTCCAGGCTGGAACTGCTGTTTGAGGAGGAAACTGCTATCCTCGATCATCGCTTTTTCCTGGGTTACTTTGTTATTACTTTTGCAAAGGAGGAGGTGTTTATTTAAACGAGTGTGGGGATAGGTCGTTTGTTCGTGCCGGAAAAACAAATTACCGAGTATCCGGTCTTGGGGTGAGCCATTCCCTTGCAGAACGCATTCCTCACGTCCTGAAAGCGGAAGGGGCGGGCCTTGACCAGGGGCGCCCGGAGGTCCTAAGTGCAGTCGACCAGTGGAGGTTGGGGTCTTCTAGTGGAGGTGGCAAGACTGCCAGGATTTATGTATTCCTTGCTCCTGCATCTTCAATCTGCAGAGCGGGTCATATTGTATTGCAGTTTGTTGTTGAGCACCAGAGATTGTACATGTTTTTTCCTTTTTTTTTTTTTAGTTAAAGTATTTCCATACAGCACTTAGGAAGGGGAATAAATTTCTTTCTTTCCATTGAAGGTTTAGTGGTTTTAGTATGAAGAATAAGTGAAAAATAGATAAGAAAAAAATTTTTCGTGGCTTCAGGTAAACTCAAAGACTAGAAATTCGCCGGGCGTTGGTGGCGAACGCCTCTAATCCTAGCATTCGGGAGGCAGAGGCAGGTGGATCTACAGAGTTCCAGGACAGCCTCCAAAGCCACAGAGAAATCGTCTCGAAAAACAAACAAAAGACTAGAAATTCAAGTTTACTGAGAAATATACAAATGACTACCCTTAAAGTTTTAGACATGAAAGGAACACAAGGAAGTGAAGATTAGACCGGACAATCCCAGTTGTCAGAGATTGGTTTGTTGTGCAGATAGCCATACAGCCCCTGTAATCTCTTGACTGGGCAGGGCATCAGAATCTTGGCTTTGAAAAGATCCCAATCAAAGCAAAACAGGGTGCCCTGCCCACCGTTTACAAATGGAGATATATGTAAATGTTGTTTGCCTTTTTAAAAAAAGACAACTTTGAGAGCATCCTTTATTCACAAAGGTCTTCAGTTTCTCTGAATAGTTTAGTTGCCTGGGGATTGGAGTGGAGGGTGGGTAGTATATGCTTATAATCTATGCTTACATCATCTGTACCTTGCTTATAGCCATGCAATATAAGTGCTATTCACATAACTTATAGTGTTGACAGAAAAAAGGGGCCAGGCTACACAGGGTGCTGCTAACATTTAATCCTCAGCACGAGGGAGGCAGAGGCAGGCAGGCAGGCAGGTAGCTGAGTTTGAGGCCAGCCTGGTCTCTATAGTGAGTTCCAGGACTGCTGGGGCTACGCCGTGAGACGCTATCTCACAAAGAGGAGCTGATTGTGTTGATGCTCAGCACAGACATGGGAATGCATGACATGTCAGCAGCAATTTAGCAGCATGAGAAATCGGGAAGCTGGAGGATCTCAAGTTCCAGACCAGAGTCTGACCAGGGAGTTCAAGATCAGCCTGAGCGATACAGTGAGACCGAGACCATGTTTTTTAAAACAAAAACAAAAACAAAAAACAAGCCAGGCGGTGGTGGTGCACGCCTTTAATCCCAGCACTTGGGAGGCAGAGGCAGGCAGATCTCTGTGAGTTCGAGACCAGCCTGGACTACCAAGCGAGCTCCAGGACAGCCTCCAAAACCACAGAGAAACCCTGTCTCGAAAAACTAAAAAAAAAAAAAAGGAAAGAAAATCACCCTGGGCCACATGATGAGACCTTCTTGTGTGTGTGGGGTGGTGTATGTGGTAGAGTATTTCACCTAACATACCTGAAGCTCTGGGTTTAAACCCCAGAACCACAAAAACATAGAATGAATCAATCCATCTTGACCAAATGTAATTTGTCCAAGGACTGCTATATTGGAATCAAACGTAATCTTTGTCACTCACGTTAAAGTTCTGTGAGCTCTTCAACAAGAGACATGGCGGTTGACTACACTCTGGACTTTTTAGTCCTGTGTTTGTTACATTCACCATGTGGAACAAGCCTCAGTGCAAACTAAGTGCCTAGCACCCAGCCCTCTGGCAGTTAAGTCCAGTCTGCTGCACTGTGAGACTGCCTCGAGAAAGGGACCGGGTGGAATAAGTTCCAAAGCTGATGTATTCCGTGGTGATGATTCATTAGAGAAAGTCACATTGGAAGGGACAAAAGTAATTTTGACTCCTTCGAGACCTAAACATGGTTGGTAAACTTTTAGGAGGGAAGGTAGCAGCAGACAACCTTTATATTGTGTTGATTTGGTTTTGGTTTGTTCTTTGTTTTGTTGCTTTTTTTGTTTGTTTTGTTTTGTTTTTTGTCTTTGGCTGAGGGAATGAACCAAGCATCTTTGTCTTGGTGCAGAAGGGAGTTGGTTACACAGCTATTTGAAAATTTGCCAAACAATTAACATTTTTTCATTGTTTCCACATTTTAGTTACATAAACAATGTGTAAACTCCCTCTTTCTATTCCCACCCTCTTGTTTAATGAAGATAAAAACCTTCTCTGGTGATCAGCCATAGTCTCATGAACTCTCTTCAATGAGACTTTCATAGGTCTTGCGAATTTTTGCTTCTCTTGCTGGACAGTGGTGGTACACAACTTTAATCCCAGCACTTGGAAGGCAGAGGCAGGCGATTCTCTTGAGTTCCAGTTCAGTCTGGTCTACAAAGTGAATTTGGGGTGGGGGGAGGCTGGAGAGATAGCTCAGCAGTTAAAAGTACTGACACCTCTTCCAGAAGACCTGGGTTCGATTCCCAGCACCCACATGGCAGCTCACAACTGTCTGTACCTCCAGTTCTAGGGGACCCAACACCTGTGCATAGGCGTACATGCAGGCAAAACACAAATGCACAGAAAATAAAAATAAATTAAAATAAATAAACAACGTGAATTTTAGGACAGCAAAGGTAACAGAGAAACCCTGTCTTCAAAAAACAAGAGAGCCAGACATTGGTGGCACACACCTTTAACCCCAGCACTCTGGAGGCAGAGGCAGGCAGGCAGATTTCTGTAAGTGCAAGACCAGCCTGGTCTACAAGAGCTAGTTCCAGGACAGCCTCCAAAACCACAGAGAAACCCTGTCTCCAAAAAAACAAAAGGGGAGGGGGGGAAAGAAACCTAAACCAGATGCGAATTTTAGACTGTCTCAAATAGAAAATAAAAGTAAATAAAAATAATGGTCTGTTTTTATTATTATTCAACTGGGGTGTGAGGTGTGTGTGTGTGTGTGTGTGTGTGTGTACGGGTTTTGGGGGTAATTGGGCGTGGTAGCAAGTGCCTTTTCCAGTCACAGACCCATATTCTTTCTGATTTATATAAACTATTTTGAATTTTCTGCAAATTGTGCTTTTCACCCAATAGGTTTTCTGAAGCATTTTTTTCAAAGACATGCTTTATTTGTTCATTCCCCACCAATGGATTCCATTGTGATTTCTCCTAGCTCCACGTCCAGAATTATGCTGACAGCGTATTTTTGGTGCAAGCCTCCCGCTGTCCGTGTCAACTCTTCTAGGAAGTGTACCTCGAAGTGGTTTTGCTGAGTAGTGAGATGTGTGCTTTAAGCCATCCCAGACTCTGCCTTGTTACTTTTTAGAACCAACAGTATGTTCCCACCCTTTTTTTCCAGTGCTGGGAGTTGAACCTAGGGCCTTGGACACAGTAGGCAAGAACTCTGCCACCCAGCTACACTGCCAGCTCCAGAAGATTTTTATATTGAACTCTGAATGAAACGTTGGGATAAATTTGGCGGTGGAGTTTGTTTGCTTTGGTTTGGTAGGTTGGAAGGTTGCCATAGGCAAACCTTGAGTCCTTCCAGCCTTCCTGCCTCAGCCTTGAGTACCAGGGTTACAGGTGTGTGTCAGTACACTTGATCCTGGATAAGTGATCCCATCCCCTTAACACTTCCTCCATCTGTTAATAGCCTAGTGCGCTCAGAGGATCAAGTGAGACCAGCCCAGGAAAGTAGCAGGCCTCTTCCTTAAGCACCCAGCCTCCCTGACCATTTGGCTTGATAAAATCTTAATTTCCTGACCTTCTCATAAGTAAGTGCCTGCTCAAAGGAGTCCATATTGGCAACTGCTCTTTTTGTTTGTTTCTCAAAACAGTTTCTCTGTGTAACAGTCCTGACTGTCCTGGAACTCACTTTGTAGACCAGGCTGACCTCAAACTCACAGAGATCCACTTGCCTCTGCCTCCTGAGTGCTGGGACTAAAGGCGTGGACCGCCACCACCACCAGGTGGCAACTGCTCTTTTTAAGGAGATACTAATGACCTGGGTGAGAGAGCAGGGAGGCCTCCTATGTCTATGTAGCAATCTCCAAGGAAGACTAAGGTTGGGCAAGCATCCCACAGTACATGTACACCGTAGAGTTCCCAGGCAAGGTGAACTTGCACTAACGGGGAGCAGTTAGTGCCACAGACACCCCACTAGCTCACAGAACAATTGAGGCAGTCATATTAACATTGCTGAGCTCTTAGCTGGGCGTTGGTGGCACATGCCTTTCATCCCAGCACTCAGGAGGCAGAGGCAGGCGGATCTCTGTGAGTTGAGGCCAGGCTGGACCGACAGCCTCCAAAACAGAGAAACCCTGTCTCGTAAAACCAAAAAAAAAAGAGGAAGTAATCAATATTAACAGCCATTGTCCTAGAGTGTTTGTGTTTATTGTGAGAAGGAAATGTGTGATATCCCAAGAGACTGACACCTGAATTTAATCCCCAGAACCCACATTGTGGAAGGGGAAACCTAAATCCTGCCAGTTGTCATCCGATCTCCACACTCATGACTTGGCACACACACAAGTACACGTACAACAAATAACTAAATGTTTACATGAGGACATAGTTTTTCTGTTTTTTTTTTAAATTTTATTTTCCAGTTTAAATTTAGATAAGAAACAAGGTTGCTTCACAAGTCAGTTCCAGGTCCCTCTCCCATTCCCTCCCTCCCTCCCGAACCCCCCCCCCCCAGTTTTTCTGTTTTTTAAGGCTAGCCTAGGGGGCCATTTGAAAGCCAGTCTGGGGGGAAGTGAGATAATAGATAATAGCAGCATGGCTAATGGCAATAGTAACGAGAAAGTGCCACACAGCTTAATGCTATGAGGAATATAATGGTATGGCTTGATGGAGAGCAGCCGGTGCAACTGAGCATTCCTGAGGAGCTATGGCCCACAAGATGAGGAGGAGCCTACCTCATAGCCATAGAGAGAATAGAAACAGGAACCCTGCTCTTCTAGAAGGAACCGCCGTGGATTGAACCGGGGAAGTGCTAGCTAGAGTCCAGAGAGAAGCCGAGTGGTTAGGGTTAGAGACTCTGCTAAGAGGCCAGGCAAGCTCAGAGGAGAGAGAGCAGCTGCCTTATTCCTGCTCCCCCGGAAGTGGTGTCTCATGCCCAGTCCTTGCTTTTCTCCTCACAGAAGCCTGGCTGACTTCCTGAGTGCTGCCATGGAGGAGCCACAGTCAGACCTCAGCATCGAGCTCCCTCTGAGTCAGGAGACATTTTCAGACCTGTGGAAACTGTGAGTGCATCTTATGGGGCCCCTGAGGTGTACCCCCATATACATCCTCCCCCACCAGACACTGTCCGATAGCAGAGGCCCGTGAGAAGCAAAAACAGTAGTTGGGTGTCTGTAATCCCTGAATTTGGGAAGCGGAGGCAGGGGGATCCAAAGTTTGGAATCACCCTTGACTGGCATCAGTGAGATCCTGTGTACAAAAAAGGAAACCAACAGTGCTAACTCTGTTCTTGCCTTGTTTTGCAGACTTCCTCCAAACAATGTTCTGGTAAGGACCAGGGCGGGAAGGGACTGAGGGTCTGGTGGGTGGCTCTGCTGGGAGACCAAAAGCACAGCACTGAGTCTCTTTTGGCCCCTTCACAGTCCACCTTGCCGTCCTCTGATTCCATTGAAGAACTGTTCCTGTCCGAGAATGTTGCAGGCTGGCTAGAAGACCCAGGTGAAGCTCTCCAAGGGTCGGCAGCTGCGGCAGCGCCGGCGGCTCCTGCAGCAGAGGACCCTGTAGCTGAGACTCCTGCACCGGTGGCCTCTGCGCCAGCCACTCCCTGGCCCCTCTCATCTTCTGTCCCATCCTATAAAACCTACCAGGGCGACTATGGTTTCCGTCTGGGCTTCCTGCACTCGGGGACGGCCAAATCTGTCACATGCACGGTCAGTGGCCCCGAGGTGTTGACTTTCATGTGACTTTTCAACGTCTGTTTTTTTCTGTCAAGATTTTGGGGTTCCTCTTTAGCCCGTGAACTTTGGTGTATGTCTCAGAGTTTAATTTCCTCCTGGACCTTTGCCTTTTATCCTTCTCTCCTGTCCTGTGCATCTCTCCGGGGGATGTGGAACTTTCTTTCCTCACATTCCTTTCTTGGCTTTTGAAAATAATCTTCTAAAGCCAGGCACAGTGGCATACGATGTAGCCCCAGCTTTTTGGGAGGTTGAGGCAGAATTGCTTAAGGCCAGCCTGGGTAGCATAACAAGGCCCAACTCTCACAAAAAAAAAAAACAAAAATAGAGCCCAGTAGGGTGACACACACCTATAACTTCAGCGCTGGAGAGCCTAAGACAGAAGGAACAAAAGTTCAAGGCTATCCTTGGCTACATAGTAAGATTTTCCCTCTCGAGAAAAAAAAAAGGAAGCCAGTGCAGATGTTTAATCCCAGCACTTGGGAGGCAGAAGCAGGCGGACCTCTGAGTTCAAGGACAGCCTGGTCTACAGAGAGAGTTCCAGGATAACCAAGACTGCATAGAGAAACCCTGTCTCAAAAAAACAAAAGAAAAAAAGAAAGGAAAAGAAACTAAACCAACTGGTGTGTAGACCCCAATCCTGTCATTGCCGACTGCCCTCTCCCGTGATACTTGGCATCCAGACGTGGTTTTTCATCAGCTCCCACTCTGACCCTGGTTCACAGTTGTCGTGCCCTCTGACCTTCAATTCTGTCTCCTCTTACAGTACTCACCTTCCCTCAATAAGCTGTTCTGCCAGCTGGCGAAAACATGCCCCGTGCAGCTGTGGGTCAGCTCCACACCTCCACCTGGCACCCGTGTCCGTGCCATGGCCATCTACAAGAAGTTACAATACATGACGGAAGTTGTAAGACGCTGTCCCCACCACGAGCGCTCCTCCGAAGGCGATGGTGAGCTCTCGGGACTGACTGCGCAATTAGAAATGCTTGCCTGGGGGCTCCCCAACCGTTGATGTTCTTGATTGCTCTTAGGTTTGGCTCCTCCTCAGCATCTTATCCGAGTGGAAGGAAATATGCATGCCGAATACCTGGATGACAAGCAGACTTTTCGGCACAGTGTGGTGGTGCCCTATGAGCCACCTGAGGTCTGTTCTTTTGGGTTGGGTTGGGTTGGGTTGAAGACAGGGTTTGATTTGCTCTACCCCAGACTGATGTTGAACTTGCAGCAACTCTCTTGCCTCGGGCTCCTGAGTACTGGACTTATAGGTGTGAACTACTGTGTTCAGGCTGAAGTTTACCTTAAGAAGAGGGTCTCTGGGAGAAGAGAGTTGGGAGGGGTTCAGGCTGAAGTTTACCTTAAACAAGAGGGTCTCTGGGAGAAGAGAGTTGGGAGGGGTTGTCGGTGGCCACTCAGGTGGGAGGTAGAGGGGCTGAGTCCTGTCCTGTTACCATCAGTGTCCTTACTACAGGTTCCCTGTGGTGGGATTGGGAGTGGCTTCACCTAGGTCCTGTGTCCTCCCTTAGGTTGGCTCTGACTGTACCACCATCCACTATAACTACATGTGTAATAGTTCCTGCATGGGGGGCATGAACCGGCGGCCTATCCTCACCATCATCACGCTGGAGGACCCCAGGTAGGCAGCCTCTTGCTGTGTCCTGTTGGCGTGTTCCTCCCCAGTCTGTCTCTGGTCCATGCCCCACCCGCTGCCACATGCCTACCCTTTAGCTCTTGCTCCGCCTGCATACATGAAGTCTCTGGTTTACTCACATTTGGAGTAGGACCAGAGTTCTTACTGTCTCGTGCTCTCCCTCCTCTCACCCTGGGTAGTGGGAACCTGCTGGGACGGAACAGCTTTGAGGTTCGTATTTGTGCCTGCCCTGGGAGAGACCGTCGTACAGAGGAAAAAAATTTCCAAAAGAAGGGAGAACCTTGCCCAGAACTACCCCCAAAGAGTGCTAAACGAGGTAAGCAGGTGAGACAAAGAGGGCAGAGGAGGAGGTTCAGCTTCACCCCAAATTTACTCTCTTTCCTTTTTCACAGCATTGCCTACCAACACAAGCTCCTCTCCCCAGCCAAAGAGAAAAACACTTGACGGAGAATATTTCACCCTTAAGGTACCAAGGTTGGGCGAGTTGCATATGTATTGAAAACAAGATGTATCCATTTATTACCTTTATTGATGTTTCTTGCATGTATTAAGCTAGTATTATTGCCATGTTAAAGTTCTAAGTACACAAAACGCTACTTGTCTTTTAGTTGTGTTGTCTCTAGCCCTGGCATTAGCTTCAGAGCACAGGCTCAGTGGGCAGTGCATGCCTCAGAGACAGCTGCTTTTGGTTGTACCTGACTTGAGAACAACCAGCTTAGACCATAATACAGGTGCTCATCTACTTAAGATGGGAACATATCCCAGCAAACTCACCATAAGTTAAAAATACCATATGTCAAAAATGCATGTAGAAGCCGGGCGTTGGTGGCGCACACCTTTAATCCCAACACTCTGGAGGCAAAGGCAGGCGGATCTCTGTGAGTTCGAGGCCAGCCTGGTCTACAAAGTGAGTTCCAGGACAGCCTCCAAAGCCACAGAGAAACCCTGTCTCGAAAAACCAAAAAAAAAAAAACAAAAAAACAAAAAAAAGCATGTAGAGCCGGGCGGTGGTGGCGCACACCTTTAGTCCCAGCACTCAGGAGGCAGAGGCGGGGGGATCTCTGTGAGTTTGAGACCAGCCTGGTCTACAGGGTGAGTTCCAGGATAGGCTCCAAAGCTACACAGGGAAACCCTGTCTCGAAATACCAAAACAAACAAAAAAATGCCTGTAGAGCCAGACATAGTTGGCACATAGCCTCAGAACTGAGGACAGTGGCTGCAGATTTGGAGCTTGCAAGGAAAGGTAATCAGGAAGAGGGCATTTGTTCAGGTTGGAGGGCACAGCTCAGGTTCAGAATACTTGCCTCGCACGCACCAGGCCCTGGATTCCCGGTGGCATGGGTGGTGCATTTCACCCACCTAACCTACCAGACTGCAGCTCAGCAACACCGTGCGCCTCCCAGATTGACTTTCCCCTCGTGGTCAGCGCGCGCTGCCGAGAGCTGCGGCTTGCTGTCTGCCGTCAGCGTCAGCAGAGCACCCTACTATGTTGTCGCTGACTGGAAAAGACCCAAATCTGATGCACACTTTCTACTGAGTGCCTGTTCCTTTCGCACCATCATAAAGTCCCCCCAAAAATTGTAAGTCATGCCACCTTAAGTTGGGGACCAGCTTTCAGAAAGAAAGTTGTTAAAAGCACGCAAGTGGTTCTGTGACTTGGGCCAATACTGTCCCCTCCACCCTCATTGCAGATCCGTGGTCAAGAACGCTTCAAGATGTTCCAAGAATTGAATGAGGCCTTGGAACTGAAGGATGCACAGGCTTTGAAGGCGTCAGAGGACAGTGGTGCTCACTCCAGGTGAGTGACCTGGGGCAGCTCCCGGCTGCGGTGCCCTTACCCTGACCTTTCTGGTCTGACTTGTGGTAGAAGCCAGGAGGCCCATTCAGCTGGATGAGAGTGACACTCTGGGGCTCTGAGGTTAATCTGCCCTGCCAAGTGCTAATGGGCCCTGTGAGGTCTTCTTACCTTCCACTTCAGGCTCATAAAATGGGATGAGGGACTATAAGGTGTGATGTCATAATCCTGTAATCTTATCAGTAAGGAAGGCAGAGGCAGGAAGATTATTGGAAGTTTGAAGCCTTCAAATGAATGAATGTATGTATGTTTGTTTGTTTGTTTGTTTGTTTGTTTGTTTGTTTGAAGGCTTCTTGTATATAATTCCAGGCCAGTTAGGGCTACGTAGCAAGCCCTGTCTCAGGTGATGGAGGTGTCAGGGGAGATAAACTGATTCCTAGAAGTACTTCAACCCTTTCTGTGACTACACCTACCCATGGTAGAGACCATCTTAAATTCCCATTTTTTCCAGCCTTCATCCTAGAGCCTTCCAGACTTGATCAAGGAGAAAAGCCCAAACTGCTGGCTCCTATCACAGCATCTCTCCCCTGTCTTCCTACAGCTACCTGAAGTCCAAGAAGGGCCAGTCTGCCTCCCGTCTTAAAAAACTAATGATCAAGAGAGAGGGGCCTGACTCGGACTGACCTCCTTCCTCTGCCTCCTGTCCCCCATCAGCAACCTCCCACCCCCCTCCTTTCCTGCCATTTTGTCACTTGGGTGCTTGAACCCCAGCTTGGGTAGATCTGTCATCTCTGTTATCTGGGGAGGGTGGTGGGATACACCAGGACACCAGCTCAGCTTTTAGGATTCTGACCATGAGGAAAGGAAGAAAATTCTCAATAGGTGGTGTTAGAATTTACAACTGGCCATGTGCAGTGGTGAGGCCCCACCCAACTCTCTAAGAAAGCCATCTGAGTTTACTTTCTCCTGACTTGAATAGCCACATCTGTAAAATGCAGATGGGCATACCTGCTTCTCAGGGTTTGTTGTGATGCTTGTCCCTTCCACACCTTTTATTACCTGTGGCCTGGACTCAGTCCCCTCTGTGAGTGCTGGTTCCTGGCCCCTGTTGGGTGGTAGTTACCAGGTCTCTGCTGCTGCTGGCCCAGCGAAATCCTATCCAGCCACTTGTTGGACCCTGGCACCTAAAATGAAATTTCACCCCGCCCTACACCCTGTAAGATTCTATCTTGGGCTCTCATGGGGTCCATAACCACCAAGACCCATTTTCTTTCCACCCTGCACTCGGGATCAGTTTCTTTGAACTCTGCCCAGCCTTTCTAGCCTTTCTGCATTTACCATCCCCCCCTCTCTTTTTATACCATGCCCCCTTTTATATACCGATTTCTTATTTTACAATAAAATTTTGTTATCACTTGTATGTTTTTTGAGGGGTTGATACCAGCCTAGGCTGCTTGGGTGGTTCCCCCCCCCTTACAGGGATGAATTTGGGAGGCGCCACCTGAATCCAGACAGTGTTGGGAGTCAGGGATGGAGTTCTGGGGTTCCAGAAGAGGAACAAAGCTGGGGACTGGGTCAGTCTGTGGGCTGCATGACAACAAGGGAGAGGGGTGACTCCATTCATAACTTGGGAACCAACTGTCCCTTGCCAGGGCTGGCACAGTCTTCACCCACCCCTACTTCTAGGGTTGGGCAGCTGCTGTCCTCTGGGCAGCCTCTCACCGAGGATTACGGGATTTAAATGTCTGATTTAGCAAACCTGAGCCCCTGGAGTGGCCATCTGCTCTCTGGGGAAGGATTGGGGTGCCTGGGTTCCACAGGGAAGGGGGTGGCTGCTCCTGGATGAAGAGACCACTGGGAGGCCTGCCAGCTGGGGTCCCAAGAAACTGGGGGCAGTTAAGGTGAGGTTTGGGGCCTTCCCAGCATCCCTACATCCTGGGCCTCAGGCCAAGCAATTGAATGAATTGAAGCTTTGCACTTTGCCAGGAAATCCTTTGAAAGGGCTTCTTGGGGTAGGAGGAGAGTCAGAGTTGGGGAGCCCAACACCCTCTTACCCACCCTGTCCTCAGTGCTGCTGGCTCCCAGGGAGGGGGGCTAGGCCAAGCTCTCCCCATAGCCTGCTGTTGTCTGAGCCAATGCCAGTAGGGAGAGCCAGTTGGTGAGCACGTGGCTTGGCCTTGTCTCTTGGTAATGGAGAAAGGGGTACTGAGATCCAGAGGAACTTTGGGGCCACTGTCCTCTGCCTGTCAGCCAGGTTTGAAGTGTCAGTGGGAGTCCTTTGCCTGCCCAAGAGTCCTATATAGCTTGGAAGGGGCAGCCTCCTACTTCATGACTACCGTTTTTATTAGTGGGTACCAAATGTTCTCACAGCAAACTAGGGCCCACCTTTTCACTTTTAATTTTGTGTGTATGTGTGATATCAATCAACCCAAAACTTGATTTTGGCTTTTGGTTGGTTTTGCGAGGGTGTTAGCTTTGTTTTCTTGAGGTGGGGTTTCTCTGTAGTCATGACTGCCCCGGAACTTGCTCTATAAACTAGGCTGACCTTGAATTCAAAGATCCACCTGTCTGTACCTCTCCAAGTGCTGGAATTAAAGGCTTGCACCACCACCCACCGGGCTCACTAGTTAGTGCTTCTATCCACAGACCCTTCATGTGGCCATTGGCCCCAGCTACCAGGCAAACTTGAGATCTTTCAACTCGGTCCTTCTCCCTCTTGTATACAGGACACAAGGGCTTCCCACCCATTCCCCATTTTTCTCTCACTTTGTTCCACAGCTTTACTAAGATATAACTAAATTGAAAGAACTGTGTTCAAAGGTCACAAATTAAGCCCCTTATCTCAAAGAAAAAAAATAAAAAAGGTAAAATGATTGCCAAACTAAGAGTTATCTCCACAGTTACAGTTTGTGGGGTGGGGAGGTAATAGGCTCTCCCAAAGAGTTCTGCTAAACAGGAAAGCTGCAGCACTATCACCCCACACCTAAGTATCCCGGGCTGGCGTCAGCATTCGCCTGCTCTTTACTTAGCCATTCCAAGGGCAGGGATTGGTGCCATGGCCACACACTCAGCCAAACCAGTGTGTAACAGTCCCTTGCCGTCCACATTATCCTCCATTGCCCTTAATTTTGTCCAGTACTCTGCATCATCAGAAGGAAGGTCCATCTTACCTCTACTTTGTTCTTTGAGAGCCGATATCTGTACACAGAAGACTGAGGTCTGGGTTTCTTACCAGCTCTTGTCAATTGTTAACCTCTTGGTTCTATTCACTATTTTCCTTGATTGCATCCATCATCTAGTAGTTGATACTCATAGGGACCCTGTTCAGGTATGACCTCTGCCAGGAGGTAAATACCGAAGGCCTTATTCCACTGAGGTCTAAAATCCAATCACCTTGTAACTCTAACCTACTTTACAACATTTTAGATCAAATGGTGAGGTACTGGACCTGGGACTTAAGCATGAATTATGCCATGAGCTAAATCCCCAACCCCTATCCAGGCTTGATTTTGTGATTTTGTTGTTTTGTTTTGTTAGTTTTGAGATGATAGGGTCTCATGCAGTACAGCTAGCTTCCAAATTGCCATATAATATAGAATGGCCTTGAATTCCTGGTCCTCCTGCCTCTGCCTCCTCCAGAGTTCTGAGATTGTAAACAAGTGTCACCCCTCCCAGAGTGCGTTCGTGTATGTGTGTGTGTGTGTGTGTGTGTGTGTGTGTGTGTGTGTGTGTGTGTGTGTATTTAGAAATTTAAGAAGCATATTGGACCTCTGAATTTGAGGCCAGCCTAGTCTACAGTGAAAGTTGCAGAACATCTAGGGCCATGGCAGACTGGTCTCTAGGTTCCAGCTAGCCTGATCTACATAATGAGTTTCAGATATTCGGGAAAATACATAGCCCTAAGTGCTTTATTTATTTATTTGTTTGTTTATTGAGACAGGGTTTCTCTGTGTAGCTTTGAAGCCTGTACTGGATCTCGCTCTGCTGCCCAGCTAGTGCCTTCTTCATTATTTAAGAGAAAAAATAAGGAACCTAGGGGTTGGAGAAATGGCTCAGTGGTTGAAAGCACATTCTGCTCTTCCAGAGGACCAGGGTTCTATTCCCAGCATCCATGCCAGGTGGCTCACAAATATGTATCTCCAGGATATTCAACCTCTTCTCCAAAGGCACCTGCACACACATGGTACACATGCACAAACTAAAGACACACACGCATACAAATAAAACAAGTAACGAAATCTTTTAAAAAACAAAGAAACCTAGCCGGGCGTTGGTGGCGCACGCCTTTAATCCCAGCACTCGGGAGGCAGAGGCAGGCGGATCTCTGTGAATTCGAGGCCAGCCTGGTCTACAAAGTGAGTTCCAGGACAGCCTCCAAAGCTACAGAGAAACCCTGTCTCGAAAAACCAAAAAAAAAAAAAAAAAAAAAACCAGCAGGGCATTGGTGGCACACACCTTTAATCCCAGCACTCAGGAGGCAGAGGCAGGCGGATCTCTGTGAGTTTGAGGCCACCCTGGTCTACAGAGCGAGTTCCAGCACAGCCTCCAAAGCAATAGAAACCCTGTCTCGAAAAACCAAAAAAGAAAGAAAGAAAGAAAGAAACCTAGTACTTGATCTAAAATTAAAGCTATAAATTACTGACATGTGATTGAAAGGATAAATCTAAAGCCAAAACTTTCAAATATATATTGACATTGTATATTTACATTGAAAAGTTAAAAATTATAGTTCAGCACAGACTCGACATGTGCAAAGCCACGTGTCCTGTCATCCAAAGAAAAAGAAGAAGAGGGAAAGAGGAAAGGAGGGAGAGGAGGGAAAGAGGAAAGGAGATCTGGTGAACTCACACATACTTGAAGTCCTTCTGGCTGCCCAGAGATGAGGCAGGGGATCCTTTGAGCTCAGAGCTTTGAGGTCAGTTTAGGCACTATCCCAAAAGAAGAGGAGGGGAGGAAACCTAGAGATTGGAAGTGTAACTCCATGTTAGAGCATGTGCCCATCCTGAAGATCTCAGCTTCCATTCCCCACATCGGAAAGTATCTGGGTGTGATGCCTTTAATCCCAGTGCTAGGAAAGCAAGAGGCAGGAAGGTCTCCATAGCCGTTCTAGGCCAGCCAATGCATCTTAGTGAGACTGTCTAAATAGATAAATAAACATAAACCTCAGCTGAGGAAGGCTGAGGCAGGAGTGTACAGATGCTAGGTAGCTTGGCCAACATCAGCAGATCCTATCTCAAAACAAAATTGAGCTAGTGTGAAAGGAAAATATAAATAATCAAATGGCCCACTGTTAACTCTGGGACATAGGAAAAGAGTAAACATCTCTGGCATATTGTCACAAGCCTTTAGGCCCAGCACTCACTATGGAGGCACAGGAAGGTGGATTTATATGAGTTAGACTCCAGCCTAATCTACATAGCAAGCTCCACCCAGCTAGGACTGTACAGTGAGATCCTGTCTCTAGTAATAATAATAACATTACACTAAGGGTTAAGAGTGTAATTAAGGCCAGGTGTTGATGGCGCATGGCTTTAATCCCAGCACTCAGCAGGCAGAGGCAGGCAGATCTCTGTGAGTTCGAGGCCAGCCTGGTCTACAGAGTTCCAGGACAGCCTCCAAAACAATACAGAGAAACCCTGTATCAAAAAAAAGAGTAGTTTAGGAGAGCGTGTGCCTACCACACTAGAGAACCTTCGCTTCATCCAGAATGAAAGCAGCTGAGGACATAACTCAGTTGGTACTGCACTTGTCTAATATGCATGAAGCCCTGGGTTTAATAATCATCACCAAACAGACCAGTTACCCAGAATGCCAAGAACTGAGGAAGTAGAGGCAGGAGAATAAGAACTACAAGAGCTTTTGTGTTTTAAAAACTTTTAAAATACTAAAAAGCTAGGAACAAGGTAATATAAAAGTATTGTGCAAAATGACCCAAATATCAGAATCCATTGCTGAATTTGAAATATACTATGCTCTAGCCAGTCCAGAGTCAGGGTTCCTTTAGTAGCATAAAATTTGTCAACATAATTCATAATAGTAACAAAGGAAAAGATTGTATGATCATATCAACAGGTGCTGAAAAGTATTTGATTACATTGCAACTGCCATTCCTTAAAATATGTTTTAAGCCGGCATTGGTGGCGATACCTTTAATCCCAGCACTCTGGAAACAGAGGCTGGTGGATCTCTGTGAGTTTAAGGCCAACCTGGTCTACAGAGCCAGTTCCAGGACAGCCTCCAAAATAATACAGAGAAACCCTGTCTCAAAAAATAACAACAATAAATATATATGTATGTATATATATGTGTGTATGTTTTAATTAGAGCAGTAATAGACTGGTGATGGAATGCCAATAAGTTGATTTGTTTGTTGAACTGAGGGCTTGCACAGACTTCACAAACTGAGCTGTATGATCAGCAGATCAAAATTGTAAACAAGTAAGTGTTAAGATCATTTTCAGGGGGGCTGGAGAGATGGCTCAGTGGTTAAGAACACTGACTGCTCTTTCAGAGGACCTGGGTTCAATTCCCAGCATCCACAGGGCAGCTCACAACTGTCTGTAATTCTAGTTCCAGAGGACCTGACACCCATGGTAAAGCACCAATGCATATTTGTTTTAGAGGCTGTCCTGGAACTCGCTCTGTAGACCAGGCTGGCCTCGAACTCACAGAGATCCGCCTGCTTCTGCCTCCCGAGTGCTGAAATTAAAGGCATGAGCCACCTATGCCCAGCTAGTTTCCTAATTTTAAAAAACCACTTTCACTGGGCAGTGGTGGCACATGCCTTTAGTCCCAGTGCTCGGGAGGCAGAGGCAGACAGATCTCTGTTAGTTGTGAGTTCAAGGTGAGCCTGGTCTACAGAGTAAGTTCCAGGACAGCCAGGACTGTTATATAGCAAAACCCTTTCTATCGCCAGGCGTTGGTGGCGCACGCCTTTAATCCCAGCACTCGGGAGGCAGAGGCAGGCGGATCTCTGTGAGTTCGAGGCCAGCCTGGTCTATAAAGTGAGTTCCAGGACAGCCTCCAAAGCTACAGAGAAACCCTGTCTCAAAAAAAAAAAAAAAAAAAAAAAAACCCAAAAACCCTTTCTATCTTGATAAACAAACAAAAAGGCCATTTTCAGTTGGAATGAAAACTTACAGGGGTGTCCACTAACTTTGGTTTTAATGCATTGGAGAAAACCATGACATGGCCGTTAAGAGCACTGCCTGCTGCTCTTCCAGAGGACTGAGGCTCAATCCCTAGCACCACATGGTGACTCACAACCATCTGTAACTCCAGTTCCAGGAGAGCCAATGCCTTCTTCTGACCTCCTTGGTGCACAGAGAGCTGTATATACAAAACACACACATAAAATAAATCTTAGAGATTGAAATTGAGATCAATTCTCTCTCAAATGAAGAAAATCCCATACTTGTCATCCCAGTGCCCAGGAGGCTAATGAAGGAAGATGGAAGCAAGTTGAGGGCTCGCCTAAACGCGTGCATCCTTAGTTCTCTTTTCTTTGTTTTTTTCTTTGGTTTTTCGAGACAGGGTTTCTCTGTATTGTTTTGAAGGCTGTCCTGGAACTCACTCTGTAGACCAGGCTGGCCTTGAACTCACAACTCACAGAGATCCACCTGCCTTTGCCTCCTAAGTGCTGGGATTAAAGGCGTGCACCACCAATGCCGGGCTGTGCATCATTATTTCAAAAGGGGGGGAGTGGGAGGATTTTACTTTTTTAGGTAGTGTCTGTAGCTCAGGCTGATTTTTTTTATGTTTATTTTTATGGGTATTGGTGTTTTGCCTGTATGTATGTCTGTGTGAGGCTGTCAGATCTTGGGAGTTATAGACAGTTGTGAGCTGCTACATGAGTGCTGGGAATTGAACCCCAGTCCTCTGGAAGAGCAGTCAGTGCCCTTAACCACTGAGCCATCTCTCCAACCCCTCAGGCTGATCTCAAGTTCCCATTGAAGGGGATGATGACCTACAACCTCTAGTTATTCTAGTAGGCTTACCTCCACCGCTTTGAGTACTACCAGGTTTTTTGTTTTGTTTTGTTTTGTTTTGTTTTTTTGGTTTCGGGTTTTCAAGACAAGGTTTCTCTGTGTATCTTTGGCTATCCTGGAACTCATTCTGTAGACCAGGCTAGCTTGAACTCATAGAGACTGGCCTGCCTCTGGAGTGCTAGGATACAAGGTGTGCTCAGGAGTACCAGTCTTATGTGTAGTGGAAGTTAACCCCAGGCGCCTCACGTATGCTGGACAAGCACTCTGGAGATGAGCTACATCCGGGGATGGAAGAAGTGGTGAGCATTAGAGTTAAACTTGGGGGGTGGGCTTCACATGCCAAGCATGTTCCCTGTTCTCTATTACAGAGCTGCACTTCCAGCCAAAATTATCACACATTTATAGGCAGTTTAGGTACCCAGGCAGAGCCAATAATGGTTTAAAACAAAGAGTGAGGGTTGGGCACATAACCCTATAGTATAGCCTACTATAATGTAAAAGGTCTTAGGTTCAATTCCCAACACTGAAAATTGAAGAAAGGAAAAACAGGGGATAGGGAATTCTGTTTGCTTTTGTCAAATATCAGAAACCATTCTCTGAAAATTTAAGTTAGGGCAGATCTGGAGAGATAGCTCAGAGGTTAAGAGTGAATACCGGCCGGGCATTGGTGGCACACCTTTAATGCCAGCACTCGGGAGGCAGAGGTAGGCGAATCTCTGTGAGTTCCAGGCCAGCCTGTTTTGGCATTGAATTGGGCTTAGTATTTGCTTAGAAAATTAACTTGTACAGATGCATGCACAACACCATGAATGCCAAAACAAATGGTAAAATCTATGCCCAAAGAGGAAAATTATTAGTAGCTAGCAACACGTTCCCTCCTCAGTATAGTACAACATATGTATATACCCACCCTCCTTTTTTTTTTAATGTTTCTGTGTATTTTCACACAAAATTGGGATTCTAGCTTGATATGGTAATACACACCAACACTCAGAAGCCGGAGCAGGAAAATTGCCATAAATTCATAAATTTAAAAGACAAAAATTAGAATCTACAGTTTCTAGTTTCTGGGTTTTTGTTTTTTACTCTGCATTGTTTTGGACGCTGGCCTGGAACTCGCTCTGTAGACCAGGCTGGCCTTGTACTCACAGAGATCCGCCTGCTTTTGCCTCCCGAGTGCTGGGATTAAAGGCGTGTGCCACCTATGCCCAGCTAGTTTCCTAATTTTAGAAAGGGCTTCATCTAGTCAACTGATCTGTCTCAAATCATTGATGAATGTTCTTGTCTCCTTAACTGAAGTCCCAGTTCGTGTGATGTCTCCTCTAAGAGAACTTCCCTCTGGAGCCCCTGACAATAGACCACTCCAAATTGTCATCACTAGCTCACTTTGCTTCCTTTTTTTTTTTTTTTTTTTTTTTTTTTTGGTTTTTCGAGACAGGGTTTCTCTGTGGCTTTGGAGGCTGTCCTGGAACTAGCTCTTATAGACCAGGCTGGTCTCGAACTCACAAAGATCCGCCTGCCTCTGCCTCCCAAGTACTGGGATTAAAGGCATGCGCCACCAACGCCCGGCTCACTTTGCTTCCTTGAAGCTTGGGTCTATCTTATATGGCAATTTCTCATGTGCTTTTTATGTGTCTATTAAACTGGGGCCAAGGACCCTGCCCATGAGTGTGCACTCATATGCGTGGTGCCTAAAATCCACACAGGAGCACTTTATAAATCTCAACACAGTGTGCATTAATTTAATGACAGTGAAAGAAGGGAATTGACTCTTGGCCACTGGAAGGCAAAGGTCAAAATGGAAGTCCATGCTCAAGGCTTGGGCAACCCAGTATCACCTAAATCCATCCTCCAGTCATTTCCCAGAAAAGGACAAGCACACACAGGGCTCTGTGTATGATATATATTTATATATATAATCACTCTCATTTTATTGTACTTTATCCTCTTTTTACAGTAGATCTGACACAGGCATTAAATAACTGCAGGGGAGACCACTGGGAAGATGAAGGAGCAGGAAACCCAGGAACTCAATGGAGAGGACACAGATCCAGTGGGAGGATCCATTTGAGTGTGGGGTGTGGGGGCCTCAGTGTTAACGAAGAAGGGGTAGGTTAGGAAGGATAAAGACAAGCAGAGAAGCCAGAGGAAACCGCCTCCACAGCTGAGGAAAACTCAGGAGACTCTTATTTAATATTCTAGGGGCATTACAGGGGTTGTTTGTTTGTTTGTTTTTTAAAGGCAAAAGAGTCTGAAAGAAATGGAAACAAGAAATTTGGAGCTGAGCCGGAGGGGGTATCTGAAACTTTCAGGCTGGCATGCAGAAAGAGAAGTTAGTGACCAGTTAGTAACTTGAAAGAAGCAGCCAGAGAGCATGGGGGTGGGCAGATCTGGGCTCAGGGAGTCCCCCCCAGCCAGCTGACGTTTCCAAGGTGGCCACTGGGGAGAGAGCCAAGCTAGCAGCCCCTCCCCCAGAGCTCCCTGGGAAGTAGAACTTGAAAGATATTCTGGGAAGGCGGGGGGGGGGGAATCAACAGTTAAAAAACAAAGTGGATATTCAATATTCAGCCCAGGTCAAGCCCGACTGTGTAGGAGCTGTTTGGATGACAGGGGGGACTAGGAAGAAATTAAAGTCTAGGCCTACTAGAGAATTTTCTAGAAGAATTAAAGACTTCCCATACAGTCCTCCTTTCCCAGAACATGGACTCATAATTGGAGGAGAAGGGGGATGTACCAGGAAGGAAGGAAAAGGCCACAGAACCAAGTTGTAGTCAGTTACAAATGGGCTTTTCCAAGGGGATAAGAATGGGGGAAGGAGAGGCCTCCCGGGAGAGCCAGAAGTCAAAGCCACCAAGATACTGGCTACAATGCAGGAGTGTGAGGGAGCAGAAACGTGGCTGGAGCGTTGTAAAGGTGGGAGGACAACCTTCACCTCTGGGGAGCAAAGGTGAGGGTATGTGGAGAGGGGGTGAGTGTATAGGTGGCTGGGTTCAGGGCCGTTTTCTACAGATCTCAGGGGATGGGAGTAGAAATGGAAGCAAGAGCTGTAAAGACATCTCATAAACAACTCAAACAGAAAGACTCCAACAGTGCTGAGGCCCTTGTGCATGCTGGGCACTGAGTAACAGCTCCGCTACTGACTAGAAAACCCCTAACGCCTCTGTGGCCCTCTTGGCAGCCCATCTCTCTGTCTCTGGCTAAGCTAAGGTTGGGAGATGTTGGAAATTGTGTGGACATCAGGCTAGGTTGAGAAGTTGAGAAAAGGGGTGTGAGGCTCAGACAAGTCATAGCTCTGTTATAAAAAATACCTTTGGGGGTGAGGGAGGGGTCAGGCAGGGTCAAGGACATTCCAGAAGCATCCAAGGGAAAGTGGGGGAGGGGGAGCCTCAGGTTTTGTTGATTCGAAGTTTGAAGGCGACACGGCCAGCAAACTTGTCTCGCTCATCATCTGTGGCGATATTGGCAGCGTTAATGCGGCATTCTACATTAACCTCCACGTTGGGGGTCACATTCAGGAACTTCACCGCCACCAAGGGCTGTGTATAGTTCACCTAGGCCAGAAGAAGACAAAGATTTGAGCCCCTGGTGCTGTGGCCTCTTTCCCAAGATCCCCGTTTGCCCTTCAGGAGCCACTATCAGGACCTTCCTTGGGACTTACGTGGAACTTTTTGCCATAGTAGGGAAAGTACATGAGGTCAATGTTGCCATTGGCAGGAAACATGACGAAGTGGCCAAGATTCTCAGCATCTTCATCTCTCTGTGGGGGTGCAGGAAGGTTAAGGAGAGACTGTGTTAGGGACAGCAGGCACCTGGGAGAGCTCACACACTTGCACCTCCTTTGCCCCAAACTATTCCTCTCGAATTCGTTTTCCTTGAGCTATCTGCTCTGCAGGGGTGTGTGTTGTATGTCCAAGCACACATGTTCTTATCTGCATGTCTACAGAGAGGGGGTGGCCCGTCCCCCATCAGATTAGGTTTCCTAAGGGGTGCTAACAACAGTGGAGGCCTTCTACTCCACTATCAACCCCAAGTTCTTACCCCATCCTTGGGAATCGGCCTCTGGAGCAGAGCCAAGAAAGAACAGATAAACAGTGAGGACTCAGTAGGAAGAGGGAGGAGGGGGGACATGGGGGGAGGGCGGCAGATTTCTAGAGAGGACAGAGTCGGTGCAGGGTTCCAGGGACAACGTTGTTGTAGCAAATGGCGCTAACTGATCAGCAGCTACCAGACATCTAAAGGGAACAGGGATGGAAGAGTGGAAGCACAGACAACTGAGATGAAAAAGAAGGAGCCAGAGGCCAGGGCTTTGGTGCAGGAGGGGTGGGTCTGTCTCCGGGAGAGCAGGCTTCTGTCTCCTAGAGAGAAGCAACAGGGCTAAGAGCCCCTTAGAACTACAGCTGTGCGGTGCCCACTCTTACCCCCATGTCCCTATAGTGTTGGGGCCTCTGAAAGCAAAACAGACAGGAAGAGATGGGTGAAATACTCAGAAACCATGACGTACAGACAGGTGAGCAGGTGGGGAGGGCCCACACACTCACCTTCCCAACACAGGTAACGTTCATACTCTGATTCGCCCCTGCATAAAAGTTGATGACCTGGAGAAAGAAAAGGGGGTGGAGTTAGAAGGTGCCATATCTTGGCGTCCAGCCTTCCAGCTCCTGAACTTAGTTTCCACTAGCCCCGCCTCTTAGTACAAACAACCAAAAATCTCTTTAATGCCCATTAACCCCAATGAAAGGACACATTAGTTAACAGATGGTGGCCCCAGCTCCCTCCTCCATTCTCCTTAGGGACCAAGGTCGTGGGTACCCGGTTCATTTTGATGAAGACACAGGGCTGCCCAGTGCTGTAACCGTAGTGGGTAGGGTCCCCAATGCCAGAGCAATTGCCCAGCTGTGTCCGGTTGAATTGGCAGGCCCGTTTTGGATAGTTGAGAACCCCATTGTCTGGTTGCTCATAGTATCGACCAGGGCGGCAGACATCGTTCTTTTGGGCTTGGATGGAATCGTTGTAAGCTAGGAGGTGGGAGGAAGAAAGAGTCAGAGGCCTGATGGTCCACTTGGAGGGTCCCCAGTTCCCCCTCAAGGTCCTGGACTAGCCCCGCACTCACGCTCTAAGAACTTGTTGAGCTTCTGAACATGCTGATCCCAGCTTTCAGTGTCACTGATGTTGACAATGACATCAAGGTTCTCAGTCTTGGGGCGAATCATCAAGCCTAGAGTCAACATGAATAAAGGCTAGGGTCATATAAGACGCCAAACACATGGAGGAAAGGAAACGCATGTGAAGAACACCAGGATAAGGGACAGGGCAAAGACCTGAGATTGCCTTCCTGGGACAGCAATCCCCTGTGACATTTGCCATTTCTCCAGATCACATAACTCACAGCTGCAGGGCATGGGAGGGGAGGGGAGGGAGGCAGGCCAGCAGGCCAAGTTCAAGAACTTCCTCTCAAACTCCTGGAAAGAACTAAGTTGCTTGTGAGACACCACAGAGTGTCTAGAAAGGGACCTCTTCACTTACCTGGTGTGGCCAGTCGATCCTGGTACTTGGGAGTATGGTCGGAGACAGTCTGCAGCATCACCCACATGGTGAGGGTGAACATGGCCGTGAGGAAGCCATAGAAGACGAGGTAGAAGAGGAGGATGAAGGCTAGGGTGAAGGAACTGGAGTCAGTAGGTTCCGCACCTCCTTCATACCCTCACCTAGCCCACCACCCCCCTCAGCTTTCTTTCCTCTCAAGCTGTGCACTGGGATAGCCAAGGAGCGACAGGATATCTTGGGGCCTTCCCCTGGGAGCCAAAGGAAACAAGCTGAAAACAGGCAGAGCCCAGCTCCGGCCCGGACTCCCAGCCTCCTCCTGGAGCACAGTGGAGTCCAACCCTTTGGAGGCCACAAGAGGCCTAAACTGTAGTTGTTGTGACAATTCCAAGAATAGGCCACTGTTGTTCTGCCTCTGACTACATTCCCAACTTCTCAACCTGTGCAGGGTCCTTAAAAGGCACAACTGTTCCTGCTGCGTTGGAACTCATGCTTAAGAGATATGCTAGTCCAAGGGCTGTGAGCTGGCAAGGCCACTATTCTCTGCCAAATTCTTACCACCTCAGAGCCTAGGCTCCTAGAACGATCTCTCTCTGTCTCTGTCTCTCTGTCTCTCTGTCTCTCTGTCTCTCTCTCTCTCTCTCTCACACACACACACACACACACACACACACACCCTGTGGGAAGCCAAACTTTTGGAAGCAGCTCTGAAATGAGGGGCTAACAGTGGCCCAGCTACAAAGACGCTAAGCTCCTGGCTAGAGTCAAGGAGAAGACAGACTGGGCTAGAAGCCTTCCCTGGACATCTTATCTCATGGCTCCTCCTAGGTCTCGTATGAAGAGGACATGCTGTTCCCAACCACCCTGAGCTGTCTATCAGTCTTTCCGCCCAAGAAGACAGTTCCTCTGTGGAGCCTTCTGATTGTCCAAGCAGTCATTCATTGATCCTTCACGCCCCAGAGGGTCTCTGCTTTCTTGAGGAAAGGGGCTACACTGATCTTCTTTTATGGTCCCCTAAGTCCTAGGTGGGTGGTCTGATGAAATTGTGGCCAATCATGGTGGATATATTGTAAATTATGTCACACAGGACCCCTTGTGCTTTAATTGTCTCCCTTGGCACTCACTGTCTTTTGCAAGAATGTCACTCTCACCTCACCTGTGCCCATCAGCAGACCCTGGCTACATAAAAGTCCTTGCATACCCCTAAGGTAAGGATAGACAGTTCCCCCAAGGCATCAGAGTCCCACGGAAACACTTAGTCTGAGGATGTATCCATCTCAGCACAGTGACCATTTCTCCCTCCGCCTCTAACGTGTGAAGCATCTAGCCTGAAAAAGTGTCATCCCTCTTGGCAGCCCCCGACCCACAAAACCGCCACAGAAGGCTTCAAACGCCCAATGGTGGAATATGGACAAACAACTTCCGCTGTTAAGAACGCGCCCCCCTCCAAGACCCCTTGCCAGATCCGCCCCCTCATGAATGTTCCCAGGGTCCAAGGGGGTGGGTGAGAGCTAAAAATAGATGAGGTTGGCTAGCTAGTGAAAGCCGAAGGGAGAGTTAGGGCACTCTTCGGGGAGGGGGGTGAAGACCGTGTGCTGCCAGCAGGGCCTGAGCCGGAGCGGGAGCGCCGCTGCACGGACACGCGCGCAGAACCCGCGACCCCCCGCCCGAGGGGGCTCCGTGGGGGGCGGGCAGGCGGCAGTGACCTACTTTCTCCGCCTCCGCAGCGGCCAGCCAGAGAGATTAGACCGCTGACTGGGGCCCCTCCCGGTCCAAAGCCCGGCAGTGGGGGCTGGACGCCAGGGACCCGGCAGGGGAGCTGGGGCGATGCCCGCGGGACCCTGTGCCCCAAAGGCGTCTCCGGGCAGTCAGCCACCACCTTTCCCGCGCCAGCCCCGCGTACCCCAGCTGGTCCCGGTGCGCCCCATGAACTGGTGCGTCCGCGGGTTCCACACGAACTCCTTCCACTCCTCAACCACCTGCCCGCAGCTCTTCTTCTCTTTCTGGATGACCATCTTGGCGGCACGGGGCGAGTCCCGGCAAGCTGCGGGGGGCTGCGGAGAAGCGGGGGCGTCGCGCGCTGAAGCCCTCCACGCACCGAAACGCGCAAGGAGCGAGGCGAGGGAGACTCCACTCGGATATGCAGCTGCTGCAAATTCCGGGGTGCACAGCCACTCGCTGTGGTCTGATGGCAGCGCAGCGGAGGTGCGCCGAGGCTAGGCCCCCCCGACTGTGATAGAAAGGGGGGCTGTCAAAACAGGGAAAGATAACCAGGGGAAGGGATGCCAAGGCACCTTCACCCCACACACCTCCTAGAAGCAAAACAAAAAGGGGTGCAAACCAGACGGCTACAAAACCCGAACGAAACGCAGAAAAAGCGGGGTGCAAAGAAACAGGGAAAGATGGGGGAGGGAACCGCCCCGAAATCCGAGATGCAAAAAGGCTGTGGAACGCGGCAGGTGGCCGATTAAGGCTCCTCCGACAAACGGCGACAGCCACACCACAATTGGCCCAGCCAGTGGGAGCTGGGGCGGGGACCGGTAGTTCGGGGAAACAAGCAAAACGTGGGACCCGCAAAAGGAGGCTCCGCTTCTCAGCAGTGCGGGGAGCGCAGTCCCTGCGCACGGTCTTTATACTCCGTGGCTCTGAGGGTGTCCGCCCCCTTCCCGCCCACTCCCCAGGAACCCCGCCTTTTCGATGCTTGCCCGGGAGATCTCATGCATATGTAAATAGAGGGATTGGACCCGCCCCCTACTGCATCCTTTGGTCCTAGAGGGTTCTTCCTTACCCTCGACCCCAGGTGCTGTAAAGAAACATGGCGGGGCAAAAGGACAGCGGGTGTATCTGGGTGGAATAGGGGAGAAGACCACCCCCAGAGAGGCTCAAAACGAAAGACAAGCTGATACAAACTCAAAAGTGGGGGCACCGGGCAGGGAATTTAAAAGGAGACTAAGATAGTGTTACTTCGAAAGCCTCCGGAACAGAGGGCAGAATGTGAGAGGAATAAAAAGCGCTAGACACCAAGAAAGAGCCAAGAAACTAGAACACACAGGGAGGGATAGAAGCCACCACAGGATGCCCTTCCTCTCTGAGCCTCCAGAACTACCTTTGGGCAACTATCTGAGGAAGTCAAACAAGCCACTTAGACTGAAGTTACAGCTCCTCCTGCCTCCCCTTCTGTCTGAGGCAGAAACACCACAGCACAGCCCACATGTGGAAGTCTGAGGATAACTTGCTGGGCTTGGGTCTCTTATCCCACCATATGGACCCCAGGAAACTCGCTCTGTACATTAGGCTGGCCTTGAAGTGATGCCTCCCAAATTCTGGATTTATAAAAATACTGCTGGTGGCGGCGACGGTGGTAGTACTGGTTTTGTTTTGTTCCTGAGACAGAATCTCGTTCTTCCCAGGCTGGTCTGAGCCTGACTGTCCAGCTTCCACTCCCGAATATTGGGATTGCAGGCACCACCATCACACCCAGCCCCAGGTTGGCCTTGAATTCATGCGCCTCCTTCCTATGCCTTCTGAATGCTGAAACTACAACTACAGGTGTACATGACTGTGTCGGGTTGTAACTTCGAGTTTAATCTAAGTACCATGGAAGTAATTCTAGCATTTTAAACTGTGGAATGACATGATTAAATTCAATAAATGTACCAGGCATTGTGACAACATCTGGATTCAGCTATTGGGAAACTGAGGTAAAATGATTGATTGATGTCATGAGTTCAAGGTCAGCCAGGACAACACAACTAGACCCTAACCCAGGAAAAACAAAAAGCCAACTATTCTAATCCATCCTGGTAATGTCTGAGGCCAACCTGGGCTATGTAGAGAAATCTTGTCTCAAAAATAAAGCCAATGTGTATGTGGGGGATCATCCTGGAGGAGTTGGAGGAGAAAAGTGTGAGTAAATATAATCAAAGTACATTGTATATGTGGGAGAGATTCTCAAAGAATAAATAAAATATTCTATTAAAAGCTGGGTGGTGATGGCGCACACATTTAATCCCAGCACTCGGGAGGCAGAGGCAGGTGGATCTCTGTGAGTTCGAGGCCAGCCTGGTCTACAAAGCTACAGAGAGAAACCCTATCTCAAAAAAATTCTATTAAATATATTACCCTCACATCCACATAAATCTGTGGTGTGTGTGTGTGTGTATGTGTGTGTGTCTGTGTGTGTCTGTGTGTGTCTGTGTGTGCATGTGTGTGTTAAGACCAGGAAAGCAAGGGCAGTTGGGGGCTTTACAACATATAAGTATTCCAGGTAAGAGGCGACTGGCTTGAAAGGAAGATGGAAACAAGAGAATGAGAAGAGTGAGGAGCAGTAAACAATGGGGACTAGTCAAAGAAAGGAATCCAGGCTAGCCCCTGGATTTCTCTACTGAGCAAATGAATCATAAACTTATGTTCTTTCTCTAAGCAACTACAATGTAAACTTCTGCTCCCCCTACCCCAGTGCTGAGGATTGAAACCCAGGATCCTAAATAGAATAGGCAAATACTCAACCCTAGATGATACACTTCTTGAGACTAGGCCTTTATTTTAGCAAGCTAATGCTGGTTATTCAGCTAATTCAGCTTAAATATGGAATGGCTTCTTCTGCAAGAAACCTCAGGACAGCAGCTTGCCCTCTCCAGTAGAAGAAGAGCACTAAAATGGATGGACACACACACACACACACACACACACACACACACACACACACACTATGGCAAATATAGCCTATGGATGGCCTCCAGCTCCTTGGCTGAGTCTCTACCCTGGGCACCAGGCTCACTTTCTTAGAAAAGAAAGGGTGAATGCCTCCTGGGCACTAGAGATAGGTCACTGAGTAAGATGACTGTCACTCCCTTCTTAGTCTTCTGTAGGGAAGGAGTTGGTAGACAGGAGGGAGGGGCGACAACCGTACCAAATACCTGACCTATACTCAAAGGGATTTAAGTTGAGAAAGGGGGAGTCCAGAAAAGTCTGGGGTAAACCCGTGGGGGCTGGGGGGGTGGAGGGATGTAAAAGAACCATTAACAAACCTCCAACCTTAAGGCTGGGGCTGCAGCTCAGTGGTATCATGCTTTCCTTTATGTACAGAGCCCTGGGTTCAAGCCCAAGCAAACAAGGAGCAAGAGGAAGGAACCTACCTCCATCCAGGATCTCCAGAAAGGAAGAAGGGTTAGGTGGCTGGGCCTCCTCGCTGTCCCGGAAACAGAGCCAGTATGCAGAGGTCTATGCTCCCTCGCATGCCCATAATCCCAGGATTCAACCTTTCTTTCCATTATTTGTGTGTGTGTGTGTGTAAGTCAGAGTACGACCTGTGCGAGTCAGTTCTCTCCACCCCTTTTCTATGTAAGCTCTAGGAAGGAAACTCAGGTAGTCATGATTGGGAGCAGCCGAGTGCCTGCTGAGCCATCCAGCCCTAATTCTGGGATTTAGGTGACTCTCTGCAAAGACAAAGAGCAGGAAAGCCCCATTTTTGCAGGCTGCAAATACTCTTCTCAGACTTACCTTGCACCTGTGAAGTTCCAAGATCTAGCCTCAGCACTGAAAAAAAGTTCTGTGGATGGATAGTGATGTTTGTGCAACATGTAAATATCCTTTATGCTACTGAAATGAATACCTGAAAATTGTTAGGATGATAGTTTTTATGTTGCTTATATTTTATCACAATTGAAACAAAACAAAACAGTAAGATAAAACACAAATGTTCCTGCACTGACCAGATGGAGCCCAGACTCTCAGCAGGACACACCAGGCCTTTCATCACATGACCCAAGGAGCCTCCCCAACCTACCTTCTTTCCATCTGAGTCTGCCCATGGCGCAACCACATGACATGCCCTTCACCCTTTCCTAGATCCAGCAGCCTCAGATTTACTCATCAAAAAATGTATGTGACTTTAGGAAAAACAACAATATCACTCACATTTTGAGCACTTTTCATATGCCAACCACTGTAGTAGATATTTTTACCTAGATGATTCCATCAAATCTTTAGAGCACCCCCAGAGACAGAGTAAAGCAGACTGCCAAGAGTTCGAGACCAGCCTGGTCTACCTAGTGAGTTCAAGGACAGCAGGAGCTACAGTATGAAACCCTGTCTAAAAAAAAACAAAAACTGAGAGTTAAAGCCATTTGTCCAACTTCATACATCTAACAGCTCATCCCTTTGATATTCCTGGATGAAATAAATATCTAGGTTCCCTGGTACCTCACAGCTATCACTAGTTTGTGGAGTTTTATTTTTTCAGTTTATTTATTTATTTGTTTGTTTGTTCACTTTTTTCTTTTAGATATCCCGACTAGGGGCTGGGAATATAGCTCAATGTTACAGTATTCTCTTAGCATATCCATGGTCCTAGATAAAAGTAGAGTATGATAGTCTATATAGTGAGTCCAGGCCAGACAGAATTATATAATGAAACCCTACCCAGAGTGAGGAAAAAGCAGATACATGAAGTATATTACAGCCTAGAATGTGATTCCGTTGGTAGAGTACTTGCCAAGGATGCACAGAGCCCCAGCACTGCATAAGTCTGGCATGGTGGTACACATCTGTAAACCCTCCAGCACTCAAGACGGTTGGGGATTCAGAGACCTTCTACAGAGTTTGAAGCCAGCTTGGGCAACGCAAAACACCGTTTCAAGAAAAGCTGTGGTTTTGTTTGTTTTTAGTAATATTTTACCTGTGTATCTCTCAACACCCAGGGTCTCCAGGGACATTGCCAAGCCTTCTTCATCCTTAGAATCCCTGTCCATGACCTAGCACAGTGCTTGGCACCCTGTCAGCCACCAGTAAATGTTAGCTGAAAGGAGGAGAGAGGGGACAGAGGGCAGACGAGAGGGGGAAGGGAGGGAGGGAGGAAGGGGGAGGGAGAGGCAGTGGGGAGGGAGGGGCAGTGGGGAGGGAGAGGCAGTGGGGGGAGAGGCAGTGGGGGGAAGAGGCAGTGGGTAGAGAGCAGTGAGTGGAGCAGGCCAGGCTTTGAGGCTTCAGGGTGGGCTGCCAAATCTGGAAAGTTTTTATTCTTTTGGAGGGGGTGGGTGTTGGAGAAGGCAAGGGATGGTGAGCAGGCGCAGCAGATGCCTTTGGTGGGGGCTTGGCAAAGTCTGTGTCAAAGCAAAGTCAGTCTTAATGAAAGAGTGTAGACAGCTTTGGATGGCAATCAGGAATCCTGGAATCTAGGGCATGCTGGAGAAGAAAGGTTGGGGGCATAGTGTCCTAGAGAGGACAGGGTAGAGGCAGAGGAGAAAAACTAGCCCCTGAGACATTCTGAGCACACAAAGTCAGGAAGTTACCTCCCAGAACACAGCCCTCCTTGATGGATGCCCACGTGGACACAGACTCTTCAGTTGACTTCCCGCTGGCTCACACCTGAGGCCTCCACTGGGTGACTTCTCATTTTTCCAGTCTCCACTCCAGTGACATTACCCCAGAGGCCTTTCCTGACCACCTGATGGCCCACTCCACAATGCCCTTTCTTCTCCCTCTATTCTAGTCTCGGCTTTTATTCCCTTTATAACTACTATTGATGTGATGCTTTTTAAAAAAGATTTATTAGCCAGGCGTTGGTGGCGCACGCCTTTAATCCCAGCACTCGGGAGGCAGAGGTAGGCGGATC